TTCTTGACGGTAAGCCTTCTCAGACACTTCAATTTGCTAATAAGCATTGTGGACCTCCGTAAAGAGGCTAAAACTAATATCTGCTAAAACTATCTGTATAACAGTACTTCAAATAATGGCTTTTTTTTGTTCACATATTATGAGTTACATTAAAATCTGAGAGACAATTTAAGAGCCAGACACATATGTGTAACAGCATTTAGCTTGTGTGCATTAAATTGGAAAAAATGTTGTATAGTTAAATCAGAAATACCTTTTAAATCTGTACCAATGAAGATTACATTATGAAATGAAGAAAATATTCCTGTTTGAATTCTGGGAATTCCAAAATGGAAATTATGTTAGAGCTGTAGATCCCAGGAGTTCTAGCCAAATATTTATTTTAAAAAATTATCCTTTTAAGTTGATGGCTTCTTCATTTATTCAACAAATTTTTTGAATACCTACTATAGACTAGGTACTATGCATGAATCTTTGCTGCATTTATTTTACATTGTAAGGTACCTAGGGTATATAACCTTATCTGTTTAATTATCATGTTATTTTACTGGTAATTTCTTACGGAGTAGGCCATATATGTTGGTGCTGATGTGTTCGTGCTTTCCTTCGTGGGAATCAAAGGCTTTTCCTTTCGTTTCTCTCACAGTCCATACTTAGTGAGTAGAATTCTACCAAGTTACTACTTTATGTTAATGTATTGAAAATCCATATTAAAATGCAAATGTTATCCTGTGAAGGATAATACTTTAAACCACTATAAGCCATTAACACATTATCAAGATTCAGTTTATCAGTTTAATTAGATGGTAATTTAGCTTGGCCCTGAGGAATCAAGTAAATTGGATGATGTGGAAGGGAAGAATCAACATAAGGCAGATCAATGAACAGGTGCATCCATACCCTTTATACAGAACACTACACATACCTGGACTCCTGGAAGTAGGTTGTTCTTAAAGACTAATACATCCAGCTCCACCTGATTATCTCTTCCCTGCCAGCTCGCCTGGTACCAAAAATTCATTCTAATTTTAGAAAATAAATAATATAGATATAAAGGATGACTTTCTGCAATATTTTATACTGATTATTTTATGTATTTATTGTGTTTTATTCTTTTTGAACCAAAGGGGTAAATTATAAGCTTAATACAGTTTGTTGATGAACTACTTCATGATCATTCTAGGATTGATCCTCCCCTTTTTTTTTGTTACATAACTTCACATAGGCAGTTTTCTAGATGATGCAGTGAAGAGGGATGGAAATTCCTGAGAGAAAATGCTCTCGTCACGGTTTTCTTCATCTAAGATCATAACCAATTCATGTGATCTCATTAGGCTGATTATTTAAGGTCATTCTGCACAGTGACTTAATTAAAAGCACGCAAAGCCAAGTACTGTCAGAACGCTAGTATTGCCATGCCATTTATGTGTATCCAAAACTGTGAACAGGAAAGACTAAACCCCTACCTATCTCAGCTGTGTCATATTCTTGTTCATCGTATGTCATATAATTTGAGTCCTTTTTCTGTCTATGGATTAATGCAGTATTCTTTTTGCCAAATTTGATTATTTGATTTGCCTTTTTAGGTTTTAATTTCTATAAATGATCAAAGAGAAATAAATACAAATAGCTCAACTGTCCATCTTATTAGAAGGAAACTTAATTTTTTTCTCTGAAGACTTTTGAGACTAGGAGAGAAAGCTACCTGTCTTAGATAACTTAAGTCTTTCCCATTACCATATTATTTATGACCCATCAGAACCCATATAAAAACCTATAATCCTATTTGGGATTTATATACCATTGTATTATTATTTTAAATAATTTGTAATAATTAAGAATGCCATTTTGGAGAAAGATAAGATATAAATTAACATATTTTCATATGATAGCTCACTTTAAATTATTGATAAACAATCTTGTATTATTTTGCAGATTTGACATATCTTTGTCTTTATTAACACTAATGAAATAAAGAAAATTGTTCCATCACTGCATTACTTTTTTTGTCCAGGTATTTGGCTAATTTTTGTTAGTTAGACTTTGAATGTGTTGACCTATTTTCTGTATACCACATTTATGTTAGATACATAGGTATTTTAAAAAAGAATATCTCATAATGATATGGCATATAGTGCATTTTTCTTCTTGAGTTTTTTTGACCTCATAACTCATAAATGAGGCAGTAACCACAACTCATTTGAAACTTTTATATTGAGGAGAGAGAAGTCCTTTAAATCATGGAGGAAAACATTTTGTTTTAAAAACTTAGATATAATGCCTCATTTGTTTCAAAACAGGCTTGCCTTTATTTCATGCAGTTATGTGGCTCTTCAAGAATCAAATTTTAAGTAATAAAAAGAAAGTGATAACTGAAGTTTTAGAGAAACAGAAGTTTATTAAAAACTTTATGAGTGATACCTATGCCTTCTTACAGAGCTCAAAATTTGAAGCCAGTTTTCATCTCAACTTTAGGTATTACAAATCATAGTTTTGTCCCATAATGATCCTTTCTAAACTTCAATTGAGCTTTCAATTTGTTAATAAAAATAGGTACTTTGGGGCTTTCTTCCACATCTCTTGAGTTTCATTCCCAGAAAATGAGGATAGTGTATTCTTTTGGGTATATATCATTAGAAATGAATATGAACAGAGAGGAATAAAATGAAATAGTATGGCTACAGCACTTCCATGCTAATGATGCATGAATATCTCTAACGATATAAGGTGGTAAAGAACATTAACAAAAGCAAGTTGATTTTCAAAAGGTTGGACAGGATTTGTACACATCAGGATTCAGAAGGATATAATTATTCAAGGCAGAGTTAATGAAATTCAAATGAAAAGGCAAAATCTGAATATGAGTGCATGGATTTTGCATAAAGAAGAGAAAATGAACATGATACTTCCAATTACACTGATTTTTTAAATAACTGTCTGAAATTTTTATTAAACCAAACTGAAAGGCATTCAGTAGATATAGTTTATTCATTATAGACCTGCATGACTGTGTCAAAAGGACTGATATATTTTAAGGGGTATATAGTAACCTAGATCTCCAAATACCTGAGTGTCTCAGTTTACTTTTTGACAGCTTATTATAATATATGAAAATTATGATATATTTCTCTGTATTAAAAATTATTGTATCTATTAGAACTTTATAATAAATGAGAATATTCAAAATTTATAAAGCTGAACTTTCTAGAAAATGAGTTGACAGTTTCCCAATGGTATCAATGACTTATTTTGAAATATTCCATTTCTCATAAAAGTTCACAGGATCATCCCTTAGCTTGCCTTATTCACCTGGTATGCACCACTTCTCCTATCTGTGATGACTAGATACTATGTATCAAGGGAATAGAAGGAATGAAATCCTCCAACTCTAGCCCAAAATTCTAATATTATTTTAAATGTAAAATTAGAAGTACACGTAGATTACCATTCCATTGATCATGAAGGAATAGGTGTCATGTATTTGGTCAAGGTATACACACTAAATGAAACTTTGTTAAAAGGTATAATTGTGTGATATAAGTTAATCTGTGTAATTCTATGAATTTGTAGTATCATAAGTAGATGAGACATCTAAATTAGAATTATTTTGTTTTTATATTATCTAAGAAATGAGTACAAGAATCCTGGACCTGAATGACCAAAATGAAAGCATAAATGGACCAGCTTATATTTTAACTCATCTTTGTGTAGCTTCAGTCTGGGATCCTAAACACCTTTTAATTACATTACTGCAAAAATGAAGATGGTCTCGTCTTAAAGGCTGTGCAGTAATAAATGGCTGTGTTAGCATGCTTATCATCAGAACTCCCCAAGAGACCCTGCCACTGAAACCCTCAGCTGACCCCATCACCAGGCAGATGGCAGTTCATCAATTCAAAACAAAGTTACTGGAAAACTAATTTCAATTACAAGAGTTTTGCTGCTTATAGTATAGACAGAAGAGAGCAGAGGTCATTTATCTTTCTGAATTTGCACTCCAAATAGTATTTATTCCTTGTTCTTATAAGGAATAGGGAA